AACTGAATTTATATGGAGTAGGAATCTGGGCGTGGCCAGGGCACGAGGTGTATGAATGACCTTAAGGGGCTGTAAACTGCGCCTACCCTAGTGTGTTATTTTTGATTTCGGCGCAGTAAGTTTAAGAGCGCGACGAGTACAATAATTTTTTTTTTTATTGTTCTGAGATCTACCATATCACGTATGTGTGACCTCGTAAATCATAGAAATCCTTCTCTGCTACTTTTTTTTAAGTTCCGAAGTAACGTTTGCTCAGTAGCATAAGAAAATGCTGCAAAATGGGAGTAGAACGATATTCCCATTTGCACCTTCCAACCGTGCAGAAGACCGTCCTCGGTCTTAAACAGAAATGGAATTCTAGGTTGAAGGATGGGGAACAAAACCAAGTTATGTACAAGCTAAGAGATTACGAGTGCAAACTGTTACCAAGGGAAAGTGGGCAAGTATAGGAAAGTTATATACATATATGCAAGAGTTATACACATATATACAAGAATTATACGTGCCGAAAATTTGCTGGCGTTGCGAAAATCACTACGCTGTAATTTGACCCTCTTTTTTTTTTTTTTGAAGTTGGGCTTGTTCAGAAATTTCCATTTGAAATTTAGCTGTCTGAATTGTTTTTTTTTTTTTTTTTTGTTTTTGAAGCGGCTAGGGAAAGAAAAAAACTTAGTCGAAAGCGTATCGGCTGCTGCCGGTACGAGAATGCGTTTTTTGCACAGTTCCCCCGCAGGGTTTTTTCGCCAGCAGCACTCTTTGCCCGGCAGTTGCTTCTAGCTAAAAGAACTGGTACTGGCCACCACGACTGTTAGAAATTATTACAATGACTCCCAATCCATGCCCAAAAAAATTCAGCACTCCAACTGCTCTGGTTGCAGAGTTCCGTCAAATTTCACGTGTTCGCACGTGAGTGCTTTGTCCGCCCGCAGTTGGTCAAACACGGTCCTGGGTAGCGCTCAGAAAGTTTCAGCACTTCAGCCGCTCTGGTTGCAGAGTTACGTCAAACTTTCTTCGTCCGCGATTGCTCAAAGACGGTCTTGGGTAATGCTCAGAAAGTTCCACCACTTCAGATGCTCTGGTTGCGTAGTTACGCCAAATTTCACTTTTGTAAACGTGAAACGTACGTGAGACGTGAAAGTGATGTGTTAGTCGTTTTTGCGTGCATCTGGTAAAGGCCACCATCGGTTACGCTCTGAAAGTTCAGGACCTCTGGCTGGTTCAATTCTAAAGTTACAAAGACCCATGCGTGAAATTTTCACGTGTTCGTACGTGAGATGCAGAAGAGTTGGGGAGTATTTACTTTCACAGATACAACAGAGGGTGACAAGTAACGCTGCAGAACTGCAGCTCTCTGCAACTTATTGATCATCTTGAATCTGGAACTGGTATGATGCGAGTTTAAACTTTGAAGTGTGCGTACGTAGGTCCTGAGGGTGCATGAAGGCTGAATTTGAAATCTTTGAATTAGACGCGGCCAAGGAATAATTCTGTGAAGTTCCAGCCTCCTAGCATGGGACGTTCTCGAAAACGATTTCCCGCCAAAAAGGCTTTCACCTGCCCCTACGTGAGAACTACGCGGACCTGAGCGTCCGTTTTGAGGATACAAGCCCGCACGTATGTGTAGATTAAGTCAAATTTTCAGCCTTGTAGCTTTTGTGGGTCTCGAGATGAAAACTCGTTATAGACGCGCACACATACACACAGTCACACACACACACACACACAAACATCCCCTCGACAATATGCGTTTTGGCATTGCATAGCTACAAAAAACGCATAAAAAGAGAGGCGAGGGGGCGGGGGGCGGGGGGCAGTTCCAAATTATCAGTGGACTAGAACTGTACAGGGTTTCTTTTTTGAGCAACTGACATTACAATCTATTTACACGACCGAAAAAGAAAAATCAATTAACAAATTATCGTCGCCATAGATTATTCTGCTCGAAGGGATGATCCGGAAACAAATCGTCGTCATCCAATATATCCATGATAATTGGATTAAATCGCTCGAACCCGTACTGCAGTTGGCAGATATAAGACTGCCCGGATATTGGTGCATATTCCGCGGCCTTGTCGATGTCAGCGCCATGTTGGTAACTGCAGCAGAAGGTTGAAGTTGTCAGTCAGGAACAGTCCATGCCGTGATCGCGACAGTGCAATCATGACTCGCTGCGGGTCGGCTAAAAACAAGAAATAATTGGTGGCGTCGCCTGAGTGAATGGTAGGCGTCGTGAGGAGCACAAGATCGGCCTCTTTTCTCCTTGAAAGCCACCGGTCGTGCAGATCTACGTACAATCGTCCGTGATTCTCCGCTTCATCTCATCGCGGTTACCGGTATAAAAAGAGCGGATGGCGGAGTTGGTACTGGGGATATGCTTTCGGAGATGTTGGTGGATGAGGGCGGCAGCGTTTTCCTGGCCGCTGTTGGACTGAGAGGCACCAGAGATGCTGCTGCAACCGGGAATGTGGAGGAGAACAATGGAGGCGGTCTGGACGGGAACAGGGAAGGCGGATGCGGTGAGGAGGGAACGGTCGTTGGCGCCAGGCGGCTTACAGTTCGCCTTTGTATGAAGCTGCTGAAAGGCACTTGGTGAGAATAGGGTGTGATTTGGTGAGCTTCATACACGCGATAACTTTGCGTCTGTGCAACATCTCCAGAGTGCCTTCGAATCCATATTACAGCAGCTAATTAGGGACGTGAACGCGATACGCAGGCAGCTGCTGCTTGTCGCTGGCGAGGAAGACCTGCTGGAGTCGAGGGAAGCAGGGTAAGGAGATGGCCGTCAGGTGTAAGGCTTGTTTCGTCGAAGGCGAAGTGTGTGGACAGCTGGCGGGTGAGGGGGAGGTAGTTGCGGATCATTGCTGTGGTTACACACAATGATACGGGAGAGTGGAGATTTTGGATGATCTGGAAGGCGCGACGGTCGTCAGCCTGCTGATCTTGGTGCGCGAGACGGATGGCAGTATACTTCTTGACGGACAGGATGATTTCTTCCGGAGTAGCCTGGCTGTCGTGAAGCATCTGGAGGATCTCAGGGAGTCAGTGCTGCTTCGCCCGGTCGTGCTGCGCATCGTTGACAATGTTGTAAATCCCCGCAAACAGACTTTGCAGAAAGACCATCTGCGTTAAAGGCAAGTCTGGGATAACCCGGAGAACTGTTGTCGCCATGTTAATGACAGCGTTATTGGTGGTCGCCGATAGGACCAAGATTTGTAGGCACCGTTGTTCCAGGTGCAGAGGAGTTCCCGAGTGTAGGCGGCAGTGACGTGAGTTTTGCCAGTGCCAGCAGGTGCCTGTTGAAAAAAGAATGGGAACACTTCGCATCAGCTGTTGCACAACTGGAGTTTGCTCCTCGGTGAGGTCAGACGTGAAAGGGGCACATGATGATGAGGGATGTAAGGAATGTCGAGTAGGGAATATAGAATGGATTGACGATTGGGGGCCGTGGTGGGTTTGAGGGCAGACGAGAGTGCACGGTAACGTATTCGAGTCCTGTGTGTAAGGAGTCGGGCTGGATAGAAAGAGTTTTGAACTAGTGGTGCAGGCTCGGCATGGCCTGGTCCATCTTGCGGTAGTCTTCGTTCTCAAAACCAATGATGACCTCCATTTTGAAGTCCTCGTCTACAGATATGTCGATGATAGTGCCTTTGGAGTAGAGAACGGTTCCTTTATACTGTTTTCTCATTCTGGATCTGTTCGTCGGATCCTTGAAGAGGCTAGCTCGTAGTACACATAATCGTATTATTCGTCCAGAATCTCAGACGTGGCTGAGGTCTCTGGCGTCCTCCGGGGCTGGGGTATGCAGGAGTAGGCCAGGTTCGAGAGTATAGTCTGTGCCGTGATATTTGGTGGCATATGAGGCGACTAGGGTCCGGTGCAGCTTGTAACTGGTGGCGACCGGAAAAAGGCCCTCGTATGCGCGAGGGGTATCCTTGATA